TCTGGCAGTCTCTTGATATCCCACGCCCGGGGCGTGGCCTATCAGGCTCAGTTATTTTTCTTTTTATTTATTCGTGATTCATTTTTGCTTCGATTTTTTCGGCTAACGTCGAAATCTTATAACGTTGCGACGAATAAGGCACTCGGCACTCACCCCGCCTCGGGTATTTTTTACGCTCTCAGTGATCGTAAGATCAGTGACGTCGTGCCTCTGCTGATATCCGAGCGTTATCACCTGAAATGAGTGGTCCTTGTTTTTAACCAATGAATAACACTGAATTTTAGTGGCTACGTCGCACCTTATTCGTGCTTTTCTCTATCATGTTACCAATTCAGACGCAGTTAGTGATAGGTAAAACCGGCTCTGATGAAACACACTGAATAAGGAAGACAATGGTCGCAATGTGAATCTCACGTTAAATTTACATTACTAGTTTTCCCGAAATAACGCCTAATATCCAATTCCCTTTTCACATCCTACGTATCCATATATAGAGTAAGCAGGTTTTTAGAGCGCAGCTCTTAGGCGCCCGTTTTCGGCTTGAGAGACATCGGCGTCGGCGAAACCGCGCGATGCATTATGTGTAAATTTTCCCTCTAAATTTAACAAAAAATGTTCCCGCTAAATTCAGTGGAAAAAATTCCCCACTAAGTTTAGCGGAAAGTTTTCCCCGCTAAATTTAGCGGAAAAATTCCCCCGCTAAATTTAGCGGAAAAGGTTCCCCTAAATGGGAGGCGAACAGGAGAGGAGCAGGGGCAAAGGCTCCTCTCCGTACCTTCCCCTCCTCCTTTTCAAGAGCTGCGCTCTAATTCGGCGTTACAGGGGATTATAAACGTCTTCCATTTTTGTCGCAAAATCGGACATTAAGAAAAGAGAACGCCGCGCGACACAGTTGTCAACAACAGAACGTTGACGATTCTGCGTATTTTGATTAGACAAGGTTTTGACGAACGCTGAACTGTTACACTTACGTTTAAGCCATGGATAAAGTCGTTATTCTAGGATATTAGTCTGACTCACAATATTTATATTACAAAAATGTACAAAAAAAAGTAATCGATTGTTCGCACCTACTATGCCGTACAACGTCCGTACTGAAACAGCTGAAATTAAAAAAATAGACACCCGCGGTAGTATTGTGGTGTTTTTTGAAGAATAATGACTTCACTTTCTTTAGGTTTCTCTGACTAATATACTGTAGGTAAAAAGTGAGCTGTTAGCCGCATTATAGTTTGCTGTTAAACTTTTTTATCCTAAAGCTAACGAAGAGAGAGTGATATATGATAAGGGATATGCTTTCTTTTGTCCACTCTTCCCTTAACAGTTTTTGTGTGGCCCTCAATATGTCACAAGATTACTTCCATAAGAAAAAAACAACCTTGACATTAGTTGTATTAGAAAAAAAGAAAAATAAACGAGATAGCACCTTATGGAGCTTGTCATTCCTAACTATTCTTGTTTAATTATTTCTCCATAAATACACTTCTTCGTGCAGAAATATTGGTATTCCGAGTATTTCCTCACCAATTCCTATTCGGTGAATCTTATTTGTTTCATGAATACTATTCGAATAGTGCCTAGTTGGTCCTGTTAAAGTGCCTTGGTACCTTTGGTTCAGGTACATTTACGACCTACGCACGCCTCCCCTCTCCTTCCATTCAATAATATATTTTCCGAATCTCCCCTCTGAACACACAACGCTAACTTTTGTTTTGTTTCTTCGAAGGGAAGGGGAGACGAGGAAGTGATACAGATGATATCACTAATGAATGCAAACCCAGAAATTTGTGCCATCATATGCTTCCTCCACCTCTTAGAGGATTATAGCGGCGCTCCCGTAGAAGCCCATGTATTTAATATAAAAATATAACCATAACACGAAAACATTAGGCTGTGAACGATTTTCCAATGCAAATCGTTCAACACTATTCCGTATTCTAGTACACAGTAGCCGTAGCACTGTCAATGCCAAGAGCTCATGCAGGGCGACGTATTTGCTTGTGCACAGAAACAAAAATAAATAAATAAAAAGCGAAAGTTTTATGAATAAAATGGTCAGATATGATCACCATAAGAAAACGGCAGATGAATGCACCCTAATATTCCTCTATATGAGATAGTTTTAGTACATTGTGTTTTCAGGCCACGCCATTTGTAGCGGGAGCTCGCGCTGCCACTTATACGCATGCTCTGAAGCTCGCGCCCGTAGCGGTAGCGGGCCTTTGAAAACGATATACTTATGGCAAATAAAGTGGCTGGTCAAACGCCGGCGAGGCTTTGCCGGCGGCACTGGCAAACAAAACCGCTTCAGCGGCGCACGAGGTGTCCGCTCGAACACAAAGCGCCTGGAGCTGGCGTTTTCGTTTGCCTGGGTCGCGCGTGAGCTTCTCTGGTTTCTTCGATTCGTTTAGAGTGCAATAGGAACGCTGTGAGCATAAGCAAAATATATTCGGACCCTGGCATGTAGGTCAACACGAATGGTTTCACAATATTCTTTTTTTCTTTGAAATGTTAACATTATCACTGTTTGCGCAGCTTACAGAATCTTAAATTATAAACTTTATTGGAGGTAAGATCAATGGGTATGTATGGTGCATAGGCATTACATTGTATTATGTTTTGTCTGGATTTCCGGAAAACTGTTGCCCTTTCTCAAGGCTCCCGGAAGATTACCAGCGTCGCTGTTTATATACTATTTTCTTGCTATTACCTTTTTCTGGAATCTTCAGTCTGTTCATTGCGCCCACTCTATTGACATTGTAATGCGCATTCAAGTATCGAGCTGCAGCACTATCGATAATATATTTTTTTTTGCGGGGGTGTAGTAAGACGCTGTGTCCCAGAGCAAACTGACCTTGCGCAAGCTTCCTTTAAAATGTTTATTATTATATTTTTCGGTTTTGCTATTTTTTTTTCTCGGAGCACAAAGGGTTGTCTGTCTCAATCGCTTCGTTTTCTTTTCGAACTCGCTATCGGCGAGAATTGTCTTTGGTTCTCTTTCCAGATTCGGATATGACGATACCGGATACAGTCTGGCAGACAGGGTGCCCGACCTCTTGGAGCTCGGGCCAAAATTGTGCCGGCAAATTGCCGACACACGACAGGGAAGTACTCCTCGAACAACGCGCACTCGCCAGCCTTTGACCCCGCAAACGCCCTTCCCGAAGATTTCGCAAACTATTTGGCCGAGTAATGACCACCTGAAATAGCAATAAGGCTCCCCATAGGGAGTATTCACTGGCGGCCTGAACTGCGTGCGCTACTGATGAACGCGTGCTGACAGTGAGCTTCCACGGTACTTTTTCATGTATTCCGCGCCATCGAGATTGCCGGTATTGGCAGCCTATTAACGTGAGCTCGTTCTGAGCATGCGCTCTAAACATCACCCTCAATTATGGTGTCCAGTGAATATGTTTGATTGAATCCCTGCTCGCTGAAGAGCGTCGTGGTGCCCAAGGTGCATGGCATTCACTGGCGGCCATAGTTCCTTCCTTTCCTGCTCAGCGCAAGATTACGATTAGCTTCCACCAGGCCTCTGCAACGTTCCTTGCGCACACCCAAGATTGTAGTCCTCCTGAGCCTGCCATCAACGTGGCAAACTCGCTTTTCGGCCGGCAGGTTTATGAACGTGTGTTAATATTTAATACACTGGTTTATTTTAGCCTTTTTGTTTGGCATGAGGTTCAGTTGCGCCATTTGTTGGGCAGCCCCGGCACACTTCCCGGTCACGTATATTTCCTAATGTTCTACTCTTCCTTCCTTTATCATAAAAGTAAATTAAGTCTGACAGTGCTCTAAGTGCCCATTTCCAGACGATACCGTGCATATTTGATTTCGCAAATACCGCAGAACCCGCCGTCTCGTTCACAACCAGAAGCTTTTGGGGGGCTACTTGCACACTAGGCGCCACCACGCTTCGATTCACAGAGGAAAGAGCGAATATGCAAAGCATAGCAGTATAACAGCCGTAGCATCTTACCTAACACATGTGAACTGCTCTTGCGCCTGGGCCAGTCTTACGTTTTGTGGTACCGCAATACAAACGTTTTGTCACACGATGGTCTTGCGGCTGATCTCTAAGGTTGCCAACATGCTCGAGGTGGTAGTTTCGGTCTCACCGTAGACTTCCGAAACCAAAATTCGAGATAGGATATCTACAAAAACAACAGAAGGCATAAACAAAAAAGAAAAAAAAAACAATCAGAGATCTTGCAATTTAGGGACACTGTAGCTTTACTAAAAACCGTCGTAACCCTAAAATCCAGAAAAGGTACCCCAGTTAAGCGTTCTTAAAATGGAGATGCGAGAAATTTTGTGATTTCAGTAAATGCTGCTTAGAATGATGCTTTAACATCCATTATCTTTAAAACACGCGTATGTTTTTTTTTTGTTTTTATTTTCTTGTTCAGGAAACGGCAGTCGCAAACAATTTGAGAAAAGAGCGTGCAGAGCTTACCCTCTAACTCGCAACCACGCGCTGGGGTCGGCAAAGGCGAAGAAGCCTGATAAATTCCAGCCATCGCTAAAGTTCGTCGATTCCCGTCATCCGGCAGCGATTGGGCACGAGATTTATCCGAATCCATATCGAGGCGTTTATTGTCACGAGATCAAATCGAATGCTTGAGCTGTGCTCGCGTCCATCATATGAGCCGTATTTAAATACCGTCAACGCGGGATTTACAAAGCTTCATGACAAAATCCTGGTGATCGCAGTGTTCACAACGCCAGAAATGCGATCCCTGCCATCACGCGGCGACAAAGAAGCTTCTTGGTCAGTGGCGTAGCTTGCGAGTTGCCGAGTTGGGTCTCACTGATGCCTGTAATCACTTGCAAAGTGTGAAACATTCCTACCAAATATTGTTGCATTGTCCCTTTAAGTACAAATGCTACGGTGTCATCAGTTGCGGAACGATAGTAACACGCTTGGGATTCGACAAGACCGGCGTTTCGGGAGTCGCCGCTCACCATAGGACGTGTGGCTATGTCATCCCGTTTCTCACCTCATATTTCTCCCCCGCTTTCCTGTTGATACTCTTGGCCGTGGTCAGATTCCCGGTGACGTGGTTGAGGTGAAAGAAGGCATGGTCCTTGACGTCCAGCAGGCTGTAAGCGACTGGCTTGTCCGGCGCGGATTCGTCCATGGCTCTCACCGTGGTCACCTGGACACCCGCAGGTGCAGACTCGTGCACTCGGGGGTCGTGAAAGGGTGACCAGAACACCAGGACACCTGTAAAGATAAAAAAAAAAACACATAAAGAGACGGGCTAAAGCACATCTGAAGCGCTCATTTTTATCAGTTTATTTGTTAATTTATTTGACAATACTGCAAAACCCCGAGGGTGAAGAAGCAGGACAGGCACGGTACGGTAATATGATCTGGCTCAGCAACGATCAAGGCCGCGAACAGCACGGATTTCATGTGTGGAGACTCGGGTACTTTATATTGTTAAAAACGGGGGAGGGATGAGCTGTCCATATTTACTATTGTCGCAACGTTGCTGTTAGTTTCATAGCATAGCATGCCGGAGACACCCCATGAGGCGTTTTACTTCTTTTAACTTGCAATAAACTTAGCCAGCGCATAATGCCACTGACTGCATCAACAGAAAGCAAAGTGCATGGGTTTATTTTGTTGAATAATGGATTAGAAGTACTCTTTTTATAAACATCAACAGATACAGTAAAACAAATAAGGAACACAATATATAACGCGGCGTAGAAAAAGAAACGAAACGAACAAAGGAGACAGAGGGAATAAAAATGAATATATAAAGAGAAGCGTAGAAATTAAAGACATCCGAAAATAATCACCCGGTTGAGCACACATCAAACATAGCTTTAGGTATTGGCATTACATGTGCATATAAAGTGACAAAAAAAAAAGGAAGTGAAGTTTAGATAAATGACGCACACGAAAACTAGAAATGACAAATTTAAAAGTCTGTGTTCCAAATTGTGCTCATATATAGCTTCCAGTTAGCTCAGCCTAAGTTTATTACACTCAAGGGCCTTCACGGGGAGTCAGTTACACGAGAAGTTGGGAAAAACACGTATCCGGAGGTGCTGAATGTAGAGAAAATATAAACTGTAAGAAAAGTCAAAGAGTTCAGTTTGCTGCAAAACGCGGAGACAACAAATCGGGAAGATACAGTATGAGGATCCCACCGAAGCGCAAAGCTGATAATAAGATTATATCTGAAAATCTAGATGTGCGTTGGGACATTGAGCAACTTAACGTAATGCGCACGTCACACTTCTTTGGTATGATAATTTAATGTGCTTCGTCAAGCACATAAATCCTTTTATTGTTTGCTGCGATTCATTGTCGCGTGTTCCGCAGGAAAGCAAACTGAAAAACCACTTTTTTAGATAGATAGATACATGGTGTTTACTTAATATCAAAACAAATTTCTCTGAAAAAAACACGCCGAAATGCTAGTTTTATGTGGTTTGTGCAGTTGAGATGAACGAGTCGGGGGGTATGGTATATGGGGCCTAATTTTAGGGACTAGTGTGCTAATGAACTAAACTATCTTAATGGCCATTTTAAATATTGAATTTAAACGTAGGATTCTATTGTTGGAAACTTTATGAGCCTCATCGAAAAAACCAAATATGTCAATTTTAGAACGACTTGAAGCGCGTGGCAAGCGCTGGAGTGCACCGGAGTTACCACTCGTGCCGCAGGCGCAAGCCTAGTGGAAGGAAAACGTGGTTCATTAGATTTTTATCATCGTTTGACTACCGCTAGGTTTGCGCCAGTTGTTCCAGTGGTAACTTCGGTGCAGCCCAGCGCTTCTCATGTGCGTCAAGTTGTTCTAAAATTGACGGATTTAGTGTTTTTTGATGGCACCCACCATGTTTCTATAATGAACCGATTTGTTTATTCTGTCTAATTAAAATGTTTATTAGGAAATTTTAAACAAAAATCCGGTTTATCGTGAGAATTAGCCTTGTATATTATGTTCCCTTGGCCGTGTAACTCATCCGCGCACACAGTGTTAGTGTACCGCTCACGGATTTTTTTAAATAAATATATTTGAATTTAAATCTGTCATCCTCGATAACTCCAGCACGTCTTTTCATGTCATAAGGCAGGTACACCGACACCGGACACGAGCAGGTCTAAAAATACAAGATACAAAAAAAAAAAATCACTTTGGAGTGAGAAAGACTGAAAAAATCTGCAAGGAGTGCTAACGGAGATTTTCGGTGACGGACTTTGGGGACTTACTACGTGTACCCGGATAATGGTTACACCTGATTTACGTTCATTAATAAGAACGTGATAGGATACTTTAGTTTGAGTAAAATGTATTGAAATAGCGCGACGTACTTCACGGATAAGACCAAAAGTCATCCTAAATCACGCGTGACAAATTAGAAACCACGCAATATACGTAGAAGAGAGAAAAAACTTCCTTTCTGACCCCTATCATATTTCCCATAAGAACGCCACAATTCCCATGGCGTTTCTTTGCCACAATATGATAGCAAATATTTTATTCAGCGTAACTAACGTGTCGCAGAGGAGCAATCGAAATCGACTAAATACCGCAAAAAAATACTTGATGTACGGATATACTAGTGGCAAAACGCGGAAGAACGCCACGCGCGACGTGCCGCCTTGCCGCAAAACCTGCTCTGCGGCAGGAGTTTCCCCCCGCGAGACGAATGGGGTTCGACGCTATTTCGCCGCATGCCGCATGCCGCGTGCTGCGCGCCCCGTGCCGCGTGCTGAGCAAGAGAACAATCACAGGCACCGCATTCAGTGACGTACGATGCCATGGCAACCCTTTTCGCGTCAAGCGAGCTTTGCTTTTGAGCCGCCAGTCGCCATGAGCCTCGCTCGGGAAAGTCAAGGCAGCAAAACACTAGCATGCCCTTTAACATTTTGCTAGCGCCAGGCCGGGCGTACCCAGAAAACGTCGTCTTCGACCCTCCTGCGCGCTTCGAGGTCATAACATCAGAGGGCACACGATAATAATAACGTTCACGATCACGAGGAGATTGTAGTCTGGGTCAGCCATCAATGGAGACGACGAACGCAGCCGCCATAGCCTAAGGCCAAAGCGAAAAGCAGGGAGTGTTTCGCAGGTGTTCGTTACCACCAAGAGAGCCGCAGATCTTGTGCGCTGCCACGTGGCTGCCGCAGCGGCAAACCGCGGGTTGGTGCGGCCCTTCCACGCTGGAAGGCGGCACGCCGCGCGCGGAGTTCCACCGCATTTTGCCGCTAGTGTGGCCGTACCTTAACAGTAAAGTCAGGGATTTCTTTCATGAAACTTTATTGATTCAAGTGCCCTATCTAAAACTCTACCTTCAATACCTCTGCAGTCATTGCAAGCCCACCAAAACCTTGTTTTATCTATGCCCATCACTTTACCGTATGATATTTATATGTGACTTCCTACTCTACTTGTTCAAAAATAAATGATCGCCCCATCAAAAAAATGGAAGCCGTTTATAAATCCCTGTAATGCCGAATTGGAGCGCAGCTCTTGAGGAGGAGTAGGGAAGAGTACCGAGGGGAGTCACGTCACCTACGGGTAGTCACGTGACCTGGGGGGGGTCACGTGATCTCGGGGGGGGGGGGGGGGGTCACACGACCTCGGGGGGGGGGGGGTGTCACGTGACCTCGGGGGGGGTCACGTGACCCCCCCCCCCCCCCGGTTACGCCGACGCCGACGCCGCTCAGGCTGGAAACCGGCCCCTAAGAGCTGCGCTCTAAAACATAATGAGGATGCCGACCACGAAAATGGAGCCTTAATATATTCACAAACCTGCAACTAAATTGGATAAATCGTGTGCAAATTCACATATGTAAGAAATGAAATAAAATCGTCGACACTTTCTTTACGTCACTCAATCTGTTTACTCAAACACCCAGTATGGGATTCTTGTCAGCATTTCAACAGATCGTGGGCGCCGTCTTCCATAGCCGCCTACACAGACAAAGCCTGCCGCTAGCCCTCCCACTTCGTAGCAGCATACACCCGCGCGAGTCTTCAACTTCAAGCGTGGGTTCTGCATCCGAACTGCGAATTCCAACATCGGCATGCCGTTTCCAATTTTGTTTTCTTAGTTCCCTCGAGACTCGCCAAAAAAAAAAAAAAGAAATTAAACTCGATGGCATAAGCTACGGATTTATTCTTGGCGGCAGCTTGCGGAGTCTGGCAATAACTCGAAGGAGCTTACACGTTCTCGAGCCCCAGCAACAGGGACGCTCCATCTTTTCTCGGACGTCAGATGAAGTTGGAGAGAAAAGCGTACGGATGGATTTCACGGTCGGCGTTACGAAATGCCTTTTTCGTAACGGTCGAAAGTTTGAAACTCGTCATTATTTTTTTTTTTCAAATACACCCCCCCACTGGAACACACACACATAAAGCCGAAAAGGAAAGAGCATTTCGAAGGGGATTTGAAACTGCCAAATCAAAAGAAATGGAGAAGTTTCGCGCGGATGTTGATCGGCTAGATAATTGTTTTCTTTGAGGAATTTTCGCCAAATTTAATTTGAATTGACAATAAAACACGACGAGTTTATTCATCTTTTCAAAGGATAGCTGCGTCCCTACACTCGTGGCTCGTTAATATGGATACCCGCGTTTCCTTCCAAAAATGTACCCCTGATATGAGCCGCCCATAATAACGAGACATGTATACTTACGCAGCTCGTTCCCGAAATTTTCGTCTGCTTTAAACGACTTCATATTATCGGGCGCCATATTTAGTGAATTCAGCGGATGTTTGTCGTGCACGAATTATTAATATTTAAAATGGTCCGCTTTCCGTCAAATATCATGGGGGTATTTATTTTCAAAATCAGTTTTGCGTCGCACCTTTCGAGCTGCAAAATATCGAGAAAAAAATAGACTGAGAATCTAAGTTTTTTAGAACTTATGGAGGCGTGACTGTACAACGGTGTTCATACTAGAGAGTTTTAGAGAATCGTTTTTGCGCATCCCATACGGCGTGATGGGCCCTCCGGTACGAACTGCGCATGCGCTCCTGCATACGAGTCGCACATGCGGACTGTGTTTCAGAAGGATGTGCACAAACGGTTCCCTAAAACTCTCTATTAACGAGACATGACTGTGGTACGAACGGTGAATTCGGTTGCGCCAAAGAGATGTCGGTTGATAAATGCCGTAATTCGTCGAGCGCGGAGTTCTTGAAATGCAATATACGAAGTATAGGTCAAAACATAATGACACCTATAGCGGCTTGGGTTTTAAATTTTTGTCTCGAAGTAATGGCTAATGTGCACCCGAAACAATGTTTGCCAAAGTTAAATAACCATCACAACTGAGAAACGCTTTGTAGTACAATAGTCAGCCAATTGGTATTAAATACAGTACTTAGCCAGTCTAGAATGAGTGAGGCGAATCTCACATTTCATTTGTTAATTAACTTTTTCTAAACACCGAACGGATTACGGAAATGATATCACTGGGTTGATATAAAGGCACAACAGTTATGTGAGACGAGAAAAGTAGTGGCAGAAGGGTGCGACCTTGGGTAAATTGCTTGTGAATTGTTGGGAACAAGGGCGCCAAAGTTCTCTGTGGTGTACGTCGTCCTTCTAATTGTCCTTCGTTTTTTTTTTTTTGCCAATAATAGTCTTTACGAAGAAGTAGCTAACTGGTGTGAAACTATTCTCCGCCACCACACAATTGTGTGAGAGTTCGGTTTATGTTTGTGTTACTTGAGGATTAAAAGTGTTTACGTTAAGAGATCGCTCATCTTCAAGCTTTTGTGCATTGTGTTATATTCAGACTGCAGCCGGAAACAAACATTCATTCAAGATAAAACAACAAAAAAAGAACATTATACTTATTTTTACGCAGCCATCAACCCGAAGATAACTTCGATTGTCACGAAACGGCAGTTCGTATGAATTTTTGAAAACCCGAGCAGTTGTTCTTTTGAAGATAGTAAATCACTCAATTTTTGAAGGATGAACAGCATGAACTTACTCATCACCGAGGGCTTGAAAAACGCCAGTCGCCCCTAGTGTTGAACATCATGGGGGACTAACCCTCTGTTTACAAACAATGACTCGTTTGCCCAGAACACGCGTGTGTACTGCGTGTGCGAAAAAGCAAGATTTTGCGGGGAGTCAACCGTCTGCGCTTGCGCCGTGCCGACATCAGCGCCACCGCAGCAAAGTGACGTCAGAGCAGCTTGTTTGTGCATTATTGCTTTGCAGTCAACAAGGTTGTGTACTCAGCAGATAAAAATGGCGATGAATAAATCACGAAGCAAGAGGCTTGCGTTTTCAGCCCTGTGTTTCTAAAAAAATATGAGCATACAAAACCCTGATGAGCATGGGAATGAAACCAAGTACGACTTATAAAAACAACACACATTGTATGCGTTTCGCGGGCTACCATCTAATACGTATGACATTGACAGAGCTGAATAACTTCACTTTCTTAATGTTTACACAGCGATAGTAAACGGGATCGGTTGGCTGTTGAAAGTGGTCGGCATTGTTTATCAAAATTTTGCTGGAAAAATACTTACCCGACTAAGCAATTAGAATCAAGAACTTAAATTTCCTACCCACGACCTGCGTCTACTAGCTAAAAGGCTGTTTGATTGACTCAGCAGCCGACAGATGGCGGCCCGCAAGGTCGAAGGCGGAAGCAATGCGTGCTTCAGTCAACCTCTGCAATAGCAGGTGATGTTTTAGAGTAACTTCTAGAGCATAATTTAGTTCATTTTTAAGCACAATGCATAAACAGAATATGAAGAGACAAGATATTTCTTGTCGGGCTGTTGGGCTATGTCAACAGATACCGGTATATCTCGGCACTGGCGCGAAACAGACACCTTTCATTAGCAGACAGACTACATAGGCAGACATTTAAATCTTTTGATTTGATATGTTATACACAGGTAAGTTTGTTTAGTAAAACATTTACACACAAGTTCACAAGACGCAGGCCTCTTTTTGGTAAATCATAGCACGATACGTTCGTTATCGGATTTGTTCTGTCCTTTGAGCAAGCGAACAATCACCTCCACTCACGCGGTATATGAATACTCCTGAATGCAGCAAAACGTAATCACCGGTTTGTTTTACCGTTGAGAGGGCAAGATGTGTCGCTTTCCAATGATCACACAATCTTAGTACCAAAATAACGTCGTTCCGGTTTGCCACTACGACTTTCTTTTAGAGCCTGATACTTATACCTGTTCCCACTGGCTGAAGTAATTGAACGGAGGTTAGTAAATCATATTCTTTGCTCATCACGGGTCAAAACACGCTCAGAAGTTTCTGATATTATACGTTCCGGGGAAATATAAGATTAATAGCTGCCGTTATAATTTTTTGTTTGCACCGTTTCTGGAACTCAAATTTGTTATTTACCACGAAGAAAACCTCTCCCCTGAGAGCGTTCATGAGTATGATTGACTCATATTTTCGGATATATAAAGGTGTTAATATTTGAGTATTGAAAGCCATCTATACATAAATTATCTGAGGGCACAC